TACAGGGAACGTTTATGCTCGGAATAGTTGGCATGTTATTATTCCTGAGAGTAGGCCGTTTGGAGAGATGCAAGAAGTGATGTTTTTTCTCAGTGATACTAAGGTCAGTTGTAGGAATCGTCAAAATTATCAGAATTACAGGTGCGACCGTGATTAGAAGCCCAGTTTGCAATGGCTAGTTTTTCTTTTACTAAAGGTTTGAATGTCTTTTCATAGTCTGTTATATTCGTTCTTGTATAATAGGATAAATACTACTTTAGCTGAAAAGAAAGTTATTGAAAAAGTAATGGAAAAGATGTCGAAGATTAAAAATATAGAGAGTGAAAACTCGAAATTAAAAATCTTGCAGATAGACATACTGAAGTGTAAAAACATCAAAAGATAAAAGTATCGAATTATTGTAACGTCGAGACAGCGTAAAGTATTATTTAGTGGATGATAAAGGATTCGATATATATTTATTTTATTGATAGAACTTATATTAAAAAGGAAAAAATATGTCTTTTTTTCCAACGAGCAAAGACAAGATACAAAGAAATTTCAATGAACAAAGTAACTTGAATGGTGCATATGTTCTACATCTATTTTTTCGTTTTAACAATGCATGACAAGCTGGAAAGAAGATCTGATGAATTGATTACCCCATTGTTATATTGACTATGCAAAGTGTTAATGCAATTTTGTATAAATGTTGTCCATATATGTTTTGCGTTTGAGAGTGAGAATGAAAGATCATCCTCATCCTCATTCTGAAAACTCGTGTTGCAATTAAGAATAAAATGAATGATGTAATCAATTATTAAGAATGATTACGAGGCCACCACATCACACCAATTGACTTATACTGTGATTTTCGTATCAGTTATCGACCATTCATATTTCCATATGCCACATGAATTTCAAACAACGAAAATAAGAAAACAAGATATGTTTCGATAATTTTATTTTGGGTATTTTTTTTTAGTTTGAGATTTTAACTTTTCGACATTTTTACTTTCTATAGTTTTACTTCCGGCATTCTTCTTTCGACATAAATTGAGCGAATGAAAAATAATGCATACATTCACAAAGAGTGTACAATTTATACACATAGAAATACATGCGAGTATATTTAAGCTATCGATAAAAAACAATTACAATGGGTATATTGAATAGTTTAGAAACAGAGATAATGGAAATCGTTTTTTCTCGGATCCATGAGTCACCCATAATCTTTTTAAAGGTTTTCTGGATAGTTTCCAACCAGATTATATATTGGTTTTTGTCCATGTTAATAGATTGAGTTGAGTAGCTCAAATCCTATCGAGCGGGTAGCCGTACCTATGATGGTTTTCAGTTTTCTATCATATACAGATACAAATAGAAGCTTTACTCTGCTTGTGTAAGTGTTGATCATAACATGTATGATTAATTTTCCATAGAATATGGAATAGAAATTTATATTTTATTTATTTTCACATGCATAAAAAGATAATAATCACCGTGGTTATGAGTATTAAAGAACACTCAATACAATATAAACGAAGCAGTTATATTAAGTATACTAACGGTTGTCTCAGAATAAATGGTACCTCAAGATTTTGAGAATATCTCTTTCAGTTGTTTTCATTATTGAGATCTGACTTTTTTGAAGATTCGTCTTTTAATGCTCTACAAAACGATGTTCTTTTACTAACGTAAAAAACAAACATTCTTTTGTGACAGACTTTTTGGGTTCTTCAACCAACGTCTTCTTTGATGTTACTTTGTCTCACTAAAAGCGTGAACAAGTTCATTCTATATCGAACAATCGAGAATGTTTAGATTGAGACTAGTTGGTGGCCATTGATCTTTTTCAATGAATGATGCAAAATTGTCCCAATGGACTAAGTTTTTTCTGGAAGATCCCTCGTTTGATGCTCTAGAAGAACAGTGTTTGATTTTTGAGTCATTCATATCCTTCATTTTTAAGATTGTGAAAAGCAAAGATGTTCAGAAAATTATTTCTTCAAAGTACGAAAAAGGTGAACATCCAATGAATATATTTCGTCACTTGAACATCGGCTAGTGAATTGAATATTTCGAGAGCAAGTATGCCGCAAATACTCAAAAATGATATGGATCTTCGACCCTGCACAAAATATCCGAACCAGTATGCACTGACGAGTACAAAGTCAAAGGAAAAAAGTTTACTAACTGAGTCCGAACAAAATTTCGAAAGGAAGAGACGATGAGAATTCTCTTTTCAGATAAGAAAATATTCGATATTGACGGCGTTTATAAGATCTATAACAATCCTGTGTGGGCAGTGAATCGTGCTGTACCGGACGAGAAAGATTCCATGATGCAGACACAAAAATGTCTCCAAAATATTATGGTTTACTTAGGAGTGAGTTCCAAGGAAGCCTCATCAACAATTATTTTCGAAGACGGTTCGATAAACCATGTTTGATATATACTGCAGATGCTTCCTGTAGCATTGAAATACGGTAACAAGATCTGTGGAAACTATTGGATCTCGCAACAAGATGTTGCAAAACCACTTATTTCACATTTCACGCACTAATGGTGTCGGGACAATCTTGGATTATTCATTGATAAAGATCATTGACCGCCAAATAGTCTCCATTTAAACCCTTTGGATTATTCGATATAGAATGACAATGGAAATTGAAAGAGATATTCCCAAAATCCTGAGATACCATTTACTCTGCTCCACTCGATATTAATCACAGCAGACCATCAATTGCACATATAGAATAACATCGTCAGCAAAACAAATAGACAAAACAAACTGATGTTTATTTCAGAGTTAAATGGACGTGGGCATTTTTGGGAAAACTTAAAACAAAAAAAAAGAGAAATAACTCGAGTTTACAACATTATCTACAGTCGACATTACTGCATCTTATTATAGAGTTCACAAAAAAATCCAGTTGCTTTTCTTCTAAGATATGACATCAATTTTCAAGATGATCTTAATCCACTTTGAAAACAATATGCTTTCTAAACTATAATATAAGAATTTATTGAATGCTACTGATTAAAATTTTTGAAAATCTAAGCAGTTAACAAACAAATATCTCTTAATACAAATGTTTAGCTATCGTTCACTTCATGACATGATTCAATAATCTTTTGAGTTTGTTTTCCTATTAAGAACTTCATCAAAATCGATGTATTCATTTTATTTTATGACAAGGAACTGATATATCAGAAAACTCTTTTCGACCTTTATTTTGTTGATGCTTCTATTTCAAAAGCGTTGTGAATTCGAATCGGTCGATCAAAAAGAGATTCAAAGATTTTAACGCAAATTGATGATAAGAAGTCATTCATCATCCGCATCATTTGCACTATAAGTGCTATAATCATGATCATTTTAATCATGAAGTTTCTGCTGCAACCTTTTCGATACAAATGTTTCTTCTTTTAAATTTTACCTCATATTATTTGATACGATTGATGTAGCTGCTTGTTTTCCTGACATTCTAGTCATATATTCATTCTTGTGTTACTTTGCTCACTTCAGCCAAAGTACACTCCATGTTTCTATCACGAACACAGATTTTCATTTTAACCCAGGCTAATTCAATACGATTCAGTATGCAATGTCTCATTCGTGAACATTAACGCTCCGTGAATGTTGTGGGGTCCCGATGGACCTACCCATAAAAAATTGTAATAAATCGATACTTTTGTTTTACTTCAGCTAGTTATTTATGTACTATAAGCCTCTAAATACTCTGCTCATGAATATATGTGTGTCACATTCCATAAAGACAATACAAAAGAATACAATATCGAAAAAAGTTGTCTGACATTGATTTCATTACAACACAGAAATATAGCTGAAAAAGTGATCGATCCAATGCACTCAGTCTATAGAACAGTAGAAATATGCTCGTATATCCACATACATAATTGGCATTAGGTATGAAGAGAAGGAGTTTGTCTCTTTTTCAACAGCTCTATTTTTATCTTTTTCTTTTTTCCACGATTAAAAAAACCTAAAACAGTAGCTTTCCTGGTGGAATATAGAATTTTTTTAAATTCTTCTCTTGACTATCTGGCAAGTGACCATTGTAATGCTTTTAGAATGAGAAAGACAAACGTTCTGCCTATAATTGTGACAGGTTTGCCGAACTTTTCTTTCGGGTTTTGATGGACACAGATAACATCTTCTTTTTAGTGGATTCAAATGGACGTTCACTTTAAGATCTTCAACACTTTCTGATCGAAGATGATCGCCAAGAGACAATAAAGCAAGTTTCACTTTTGGCTTGAGACGAGATTAGTGACTACATTGTTGATTTTGTGAATCAGTCAAAGCCATACTCAATTGTGATAAAAACATACGACGAGTATTTGTTCTTCCTTTGTTCCATTCAGAATTTTGACATAACCACATTGTCATGCTATCGATTGCGGCAATATCTATCATATTGTAAAAGACATTCATTGGCAATCGCCTATTTATTAGCATCAGCACCACATTTTATCTGATTGTAGTCATGAACTACACATGGTAATTTTTTTTCGTCATCAAAAACTTCAGGATGTTTATGCAACGAAGATAAAATGATGATCGACTTTTTTTTCTCTTTTGCTTGGTAGAACAAAAGCATATATGGTCCTGAAAAATAAAACCACGATGAAAATAAATTCTGACGATATAATTTCAATTCATCAGGTAAAAACGAGCGTCTGTGTTCAACAACTCCAGTAGACGTCATTTTTCAATCTAATAAAGCTTCAGATAATTTGATATCTGTAAAATAACGATCAAATATAATGCATCGACCTTATTTGACATTGTTCGACAAATGATCAACTAAATTAAGAACAACATTAGTCGCAAGATTCTTCTGAATTCGGTTGCCCCTTTTTCCGATATATAGATCAATTGATAATACATATCGACTATCTATATCAGACAAAACCCAAAATTTTAGTCCGTATTTAGTCGGCTTGTTCGGCATATATTGTACAAAACAATAACGACCTCGAAAAGACACTAATTACTCGTCACCAGTTAAGTTTTCACCAGGTACAAAATGTTTAGGAAGTTGTTTGACAAAAAGCTCAAATATATATCTAATGGGATACACCGTGGCACGATATAATGGACGACTTTGGCTGATATCTGGGTACATAGACCATGTGATACCATCCTTTTGTAATGTTTCTGATTGACTAAATGTAACAACATGATCTTGTTCAATATCAGAATTTGATAAATCAGATTCTTCTGATATATGTTCACTATTAGATGTATCGTCTGATTGAGTAGCAACAAAATCATATTCGCTGTCCCAATTAGAACCTTAATTATCACTAAAATCATTATTAATTTCATTTTCATCTGCCAAAATAATGTCTCGAATTCGTTTTCAATTTGACTCAGGTGTTGTGTTCATGCTATAATAACAGAAAAGGAGAAAATGTACGTTTTCTAGTTTAATTTTCTTACATGTTTAAAAGGGTTGTAACAGATTCACGCAATCGAGATAAATAGACAAAAATAACAGTATGCAGAAATGTGGTTTTGATCTGAAAATAGTCACAAATTTCACATCATGCAAAGAAAATATAAATCATTAACATTAGGGATGAATGTACAGACGAATCATAACAAATCTATTTGGAAAAACAATTGAAAGATAATAGATGGCAGCTCTAGCAAGACAAAAAAATCATACTTATAACACGATGGATGTTCTAGGGTTCATGTGGACCCACCACTATATTCCTACCTCTTTAGAGCTATTTCTGATTTCTAGTGAGGATATTATGAGCCAACTAAGGATTACAGATTAGAGAAAGGGAATGACCAAAAACAACAAATAATGATGGACTACTAGAGGAAAAATTGTCAGATGGGTCCGCGCGGATCCCACAACGTCTACGGAGGGTTAAGCTGTTTTCTTGTTATGCGTAAGCTCTCTAAACGATATTATCGGATAATTTCTATTTGCTGTTTTTGTAGAGTATTTAATGTTCTACAAAACTCCCGGCTGCAATAAAATGAAACTTAAAAGCCACAAACATTTTCCAAGATGCTGCTCTTTACATGAAACGACATTTTTCGAAATAATCGTTTTTTGCAGATTTTGATATTTGAACTGTAACATATTCTGCTGAAGTGCAAAGATATGTAGGAAAAGAAACAAGTTGGGAATTTTATAGAGCAAGCATCTTTCTACAAAGTGGTATATAAAAGACTTTCTTATAACCAGGATTGAGGTAGCATTAATCAAAATACAAAAATGCACTACAGGAGAAATTCTGTACAAACGTCGGTTTTGGTACCCATTAAAGATTTGTTCTCAATAAATCAAATTTAAGTCAGAAAAAATTTCTGAGTATATAGTTAGAAAGAGCATGAAATTCTCATTCTAGCTAACTACTTTTAATTTTCTCCTGCGACCTATGAGTGGATGAAAATCGAATAAAGATGTTGTGCAAAGACTTTTTACACGTAGGTTAGTTTAACCCAAGTCGACGACTCTTGCTCGTGCACTATGAGTATTAGTTTATCAATAACAAAAGAAAAAAACAGCTAGTACATTCTATTTTTGACTTCTATTGAAATTCTTCGGAGCTAGATTCAAAGAAAAATTTTAGTTCAACTAAAGTCTAACGTCCCCTATAAATTGCAGCAACAGTACTATAAATTTACAAACCTTCTTCGATCACAACCTTATGTCCTCTACAAATTGCAACATGCTTAGTAAAAACATCAATTATTATAAAAATCTTTTAAAATAACTTACTTTCAATATTCGTTCACAGTAATCAAATTTTAAAAAGTTAAATATAAATTTTAATTGTTTTACAAAAAATTAATAAAAGTAACAAAATTTAAATCAAACGAAATTTTAAAAATTTTAATTTACTTAACATTTGTTTTTCTCATGTTCGCAAATGAGAGGTAGCCCATCAGATCTATGATCCTTGTTTCATTAAGATGTTCAGTAATGTTCGCTCGTTTTATTAATATCCACTGGTAAACGCTCTTAAACCATATGAAAATGGTGGAAAGCAGTGATCTTAGCGAGTAATCATTCATGAATGATCGTATACGATCTAAGAACGGCGCAATATCATAACGTTTACGATGACTGTTCACAGTTAACGTTTCATATTTGAGTTGTTTTGGTTAAACGGTGTCAATCATTCTGAAGACACAACCTTAGCATGTAAAAGTTTTTTCTTTGTTTCTATGGAGAATGTGCAAAAAAAGTCCAACATTTCTACGAAAAAAAGATCAAATAATTACTAGAAAAAAATATGTCAATTGTGGCAGTCTATAGGCAAAAAATATTTTAACAAAAAATAGAAAAATCGTTTGAAATAGCATTCTAATCCACTTTAACATTTAATAGAACGAGATTGACAGACTCTTTATTAGCTTTTAATTTTTGTTAATTTCAAATGATCAATTGGAAACAAAAACATGCAGACAAAGGAATATCAATCAAAGAAATCAACGCATGAGAAACTCTTCAGAATTCATTTGACTTCTTTATTCGAGTATGAAGAGGTGGCNCATCTTTTAATAAAGATCATAAGGTATATATGACTGCGGCGTAAGAACTCGATATGAAAATGTTTGTTTTATTTTGATGAAACAATGACAATAGTTTTTATCAATTTTAAGTATTATTCTTCGTCCCTGTGTTTTATCACCATGAGAAACCGATTTAAAAAAAATTCAACAACAAATTAGTCATACAATTGACTTTTGATATATTTGTCAAAGTAACACAAAATTTTAAAAAACAAATAAAAAAGAAAATAGACGATGATATATATGAAACATGTCATGTATTTGATAAATATGGTATTGGCTATGTTAGTGTTGCTAAACTGAAACATTCTATGCTTTCATTGATTGAATAACTTACAGAAGAAGTCACGAATTAACACATAAAGCTGATATTGATGCTGATGAACAGTTTGTATCTAACTAACTAGAAACTTTAAAAAACAATTTCATTGATTTTTTTATTTTCATTTCGATGTAACTGCAAAGATTTTATATGTATTTTAACAAATAAAAAATGCTAAAATATGATCGAATTTTTCGTCAATGATAAAATGAACAAAAAATAATATACATTCCGTCTGATAATAAGTCCAAATGCTTTTCTATGTAATCTCTATAATTCATACTTTTCTCTTTTTTCTTTCTTTAATGTTCTATTTTAGCAATATCTATCGTTCAACATATTTCTTTTTTCAGTTTTGCTTGTTTTCTTTCTTTGTTTTTTGTCTTGATCGATTGGATATGAATGATAAAATAGTTAAATTATTTATTATTGTATTTAATTACTCAATATTCATCTGCTGATGATAATACTACAATGAAAAAAAAACATCGAAATATCATATATTTATGTTATTTTATATCCTTTCATATTTAGTTCGATTTTCTTGATTTATTTCATTTGGTGATGTATTGTAATACATTTTCATAATTATATAGCTGTATAATAAACGATAAAATAAAGTATGATAATATTGTTCTAGTTTCTTTGTCATAGTAGAAGCGACTAGTATTAAACTTCATAGTTATTTTAGGACTAAGTAAGTAAAATGATTTGAAAACTTCTGATATCTCCTTAATATGTATATAGGCAAACGAAGAGAGAAATGAGTCGTTATTTTGTCTTTCTCTCTCTCTCTCTCTGTCATTAATATTGGACAAAAGTTGCACATGTGTCAGCCACTTATTATTCTTTTTTTTATCACATATTTGCTATGCAAATCATGCTATTGTCCGAATTAATACGATTTTTATTCTACTTGCTATCTATCATCATACAAGGTCTCCTCTCTTCTCTCTCCACACAACTACTCTCCAGCGGTCATGAACGAGTGATCAACATTTTTTCGAGCGTTGGCTTTGTCAATGGATCATAATCCATATATTATTGCAAAGAAAAATACGTACTCCACACGCTTCACTGATTTGTGCAATACAAGAGATATTTTTCTTCAATATTTCTATCGTTCACGATGAACAGATGTAAAATGAATAGAGCACTGTTGTGAAGAGTCACAAATTCATTTTGTAGTAATAATATCTCTCGATATCCTAGTGAAATCCGATGACCGGTGCCTCTTCATATGAAGGGATGATATTACAGCAAAAGAAACACATATGAAAATGTACACACATGTTTTTTTCTCCTTCAATTCTTTGTTACAGTATTGTTGTTCAACAAGCCAGCTTCGGAATTAATTTAAATGCATAAAATAAAGGATATTTTTGATAGATCAGCTTTATTATTATCGAATGATGAATAAATATATAAAAAATCAAGCAAAAAAGAGTGAAGAATACATATTAAAAAAAAGATGAACGCAAAAAATATGTAAAAGAAATTCACATTCTCAATGACAATGGTCACTCACCGGATAATTCTCAATGATTGATGGCCTTGAACGGTAGTCTCTGTTGATAAAGTGTGCAATTGATTATTTGAAAGAAAAAAAAGATATGAATTTAAAAAGCTCTGTTATCCGTTATAATAAAGTGGCATGAGCAGAATTTTAATCGATCGTGGCGCATATCAATACCATCAAGAAGAAGAGTAAAACAAAAAAAATGAAAAAGAAAAAAGAGAAAGCATATATCCAAGTCGATCAATGACTTCGACTATTCAGCATAAAAAAGATGTCATCACCAACACCAAGATACATTATATCAAAGAAAATCAATACTAAATTTATTTTATTGATGTCACATGTGTGTATGTGTCTTGTTCTGTTAGGTTAGATCATCCTTTTTTTCTTTAAATTATAGTCGCATCTTTTAATGTTAATTTTTTGAACTCAAGGTGATTTTGTTTTGATTTCTCTTTCTTTTCTCTTTTCTGTTTTTTTTCGTTCTCCAGCTATCTATACGTGTGTATAGAGAGTGAATTGATATTTACATGTTTTTTTGTTTATCGATAATAACTGTTTCATTGTGTACAATGTCGAAGTTTTATTCAAGGAAAAAAANCATGTTTTCATAATTCTTAGTTACGTATTGCAACACATTTTCATCATTATATAGCTGTAGATAATAAATGATAAAATAAAACATGATAATGTTGTTACAGTTTCTTTGTCATAGTAGAAGTGATTAGTATTGTAGTTCGTATTTATTTTAGTACTAAGTAGGTAGAATAATTTATGAAAGTTTCAACAATTTTGCTCTTATTGTATATAAGAATGATGAGTTTTAAAATGGTTTCAGAACTTCTGAGATCCCTTAATATGTGTGCGTAGGCAAATTAAGAGAGAAATTATCTTTATTTCATCTTTTTCTCTCATTCATTAATGCTGGACAAAATTTGTACATGTGTCAGCCACTTATTATTCTCTTTTATTGCAAATTTGTTACGTGCAATATGCTATTCTTCGAATTAATACCATTTTTATTTTACTCGCTATCTACTACTATATTAGACTCCTTCTCCTTTCTCTCTCCACACAACTACTTTTCATCGGCCATAGACGAGTGATTAACATTTTTTTTCGAGCGTGAACTTTGTCGATGGAGTATAATCCACATAGTATTACGAAGACAAATATATACTCCACACGCTTCACTGATTTCTGCAGTAGAAGAGGTATTTTTCTTCACTATTTCTATCTTGCACGATCAACAGATGTAAAAGGAATAGAGTACTGTTTTGGAGTGTCACAACTTCATATTTTATTGATAATATTTCTGAATATCCTACTGAGAATCGACGATCGTTGTCTCCTCACCTGAAACGGTGCTACTAGGTCAAAAGAAACATATGAAAATGTACATATACACACGTTTCTTCTCCTTTATTTCTTCGTTACAGTGCTGTTTTCAATAGGCAAGCTCCCGAATTAATTTAAATACATAAAATAGAGGATATTTTTTATGGATAAATTTTATTATTATCGAATGATCAATAAATATTTACAAAATGAAGCAAAAAAGAGTGAAGAATACATATAAGAAGCAGATGAACACAAAAACATGTATGAAAGAAACTCACATTCGAAATGCCAATAGTCACTTACCGAATAATTTTTGTTGATTGATTGCTTTGAACAGTAGTCTGTGTTGATGAATTATGTAAGCGACCGATGATAATCTATTGATTGTTTGAAAGAAAAAAAACCGTTTAACCGAGAAAAAAACAAGCAAAAGATATGAGATCAAAAAGCTTTGTTATCCGTTGTGATAAATTCGAATGAGCAGAAATTTAATCGAATAATTCAATCATTCTATCCTGCACATCTTCATTGAAAATGCACTCCAATATTGAATACCTATTCCTTAATGGATGATGATGGTGCATATTAACATCATCAAGAAGAAGAGCAAGACGAAAAAGTGAACAAGAAAAAGCACATGTGTAAGTCGATTGATGACCTCAACCGTGCAGCGCAAAACAAATATCATCACCAACACTAATACACATTATATCAAAGAAAATTACTATCAAATTCATTTTATTCACGTCACACGTGTGTATGTGCTTTTTTTCTGTTAGGTTAGATTATTCTTATTCTTTTCTTCAACTATAATCTCATCTTTTAATGTTCAGTTTTTTTAACTCAATTTGATTTCGTTTTAATTTCTCTTTCTTTTGTCTTTTGTCTTTTTTTTTTCGTCCTTTAGTTACCTACACGTGTGTATCAAGAGTGAATCGATATGTAAATGCTTTGTTTTTCATAGATAATAACTGCTTGATTTTGTACAATGTTGAAGTTTTGTTCAATAAAAAAGACATAATAATAAACTATAAAACATTGCTATGCTCTTGAACGTTTGACTAAAATCGTAACTTTTACATAAATTCAATCAAGCTCATATATTATAGTAATAGAGAAAATAAATCATAAATGTCTTCGAAGAATCAAAA